GAACGGGGTCATGGGAAAGGACAGCCCAGAAAAGAGAATTCACAACCTGTGGTCTCCCACTGCTTTGGTAGGAACCTTGTAAACACAGCAGCAGCCCCCCAGGAAAGTCTTGGAAGGAAGGAGAAGCTGATCAGATTCAGAGACTGAGGCATCTAGGTCTCCAACCAAAGGCTCCCCTGGCCCTAAAAAGTCAGACTCCCGTCTCCTTAGCCCTTTCCCTCATAGACCAGCAGGTGGCACCACCGACAGGGATTTCAAAACCAAAACTAAATTAAAGTGGAAACTCAAATCTTTTGTTTATGCAAATAGTTCATTCCCTCCAACATTCCTCCGGGAATGGTCCCCCCTCCACTCCACAGAAAACCCTCCCCTCCCTGCTGTGCGTGACGCGGCCTCCCTCTGCACACAGTGCACGAAGACGCTGTCAGGAGAGCCCAGGATTCAACACGGGCCTTGCAAGGGTGATGGGCACCCAGGCGGGAGGGAGAAGCCAGGGGAGAAGCCAGGATATAGGAGGCAATTCGGGGAGACAGGAACACCCTTCTCTCTTCACACACTCTTCTCTCATCAATCCCACTGTGCACACACATGGACACACACAACACACGCCCCGTCCCTCCTCCTAAGGACCAGACGAGACCTTATACATAGAAGCCCATGCCATGGTCCTTTCTTCCCTCTGGGCTCATGGCAGGAAGCAGCGAGAGGAGGGGGCCCCCTGCCCAGGAGGGGATACTCTGCCTGTGTCTCACACGCCACAGATGGTCTCTCCCAGACGCTCTTACTGAACCTGTGGGAGCCCTTTCAGAGACCCACGGGTGGAAACCCTCACCCTCCACTAACTTGTCCCAAGCCAGTCCTATTCCTGGAAGGGGAGGGGAGGGATGGGGCCGGGCAGGGGAGGAGGCTGGAAGGGGAGTGTGAGGGGAGTGTGGTGGCCTCCGGACTGGACACTGCCCTGGGGAGTGACCCAATGCAGCAGCTGCAAAGGCCGCCCTCCCCACCCAGGCACCCCTGCTGAGAACATGTCGGTGAGGTCCAGAGTGGGCAGAGAGGAGGAGGATGCCCAGCAGTATGGCCATCTCATCCCCTGCCATGGCCACTGCCCACATGGCAAGAGTGCTGAACCCCTCCAACTCCAGACACTCTTTTGTTTTGGCAGGTGGCTCTTGTACCTCCTGGCCTCAACCCTATTCCACAGGCCAAGAAATCCCATTCTCATCCCTCAGAGGTTATTTGGGGAGGTGACTTCCCCTCTGTTTCCCAAGCCTTGCCCCAACAGCTTTGAAACAAACACTGTGATCACAGTCCCCACAGGATACAGGGTGAAGCTCGTCTTCCAGCACTTTGACCTGGAGCCTTCTGAAGGCTGCTCCTATGACTACGTTGAGGTAGGGGCAGGACGGGCGGCAGAGGGGAGACAAAACGGGACCCTCTGGGATCTGGGATCTGTATGGCATGCACACCCCCAGACACAGCCCAGCCCCACAAGAGGTGATGGCCGACTACATCTCTTAGAGCCAAGGGTTGCCCTGGACGGGGCACTCACTGGTGAAGAGGCCCGCAGTGAGCACTGAGGGGAGAAGCACAGAGAAGGAAGGGGACAGGACCCACTCAGGAAATTCACTGTCCACTGAGTCAAGAAAACCTTCCCCATCTGCTGTCTAGCTGAGAGCCTTTGGGAAACCACTGTGCCTCAGCTTCCCTGTCTCCAAGGAGAAGATTGGCATGGCTGCCTGCCTCAACAGGAACACAGGGACATGAGGAGGAGAAATGTGTGCTCTGGCAGCACGGGAATAGTCTTCAGCAAGGACAGTAGGCTCAGAACCCTCACCTCTGTGACAACCAAGGGTACCTTCCCTGGCCCATCTTTCTCTATCCAGTAAAAATGAGATTCAGGGCTCAAGCAGAGCCTGCGAAGGTCCAATAACTACCATTCCCAGGAGACTCCCGGAGGTAGGAGGTATGCACGAATAAGATTGTGGCTGACTGCCACAGTTACTACTTGAGAGAGTTACTACTTGAGACAGTCACTACAACAGTTACTAATGTTACTACTTGAGACCATCATTATGAGACTGAACAAAGTAGGACAAACATAGAAATGAAAATTTAAGACAAAAGAAACTGTTTTAAAGAAAGAGACCAAGGGAAGAAGAAGAGAGATCCCTGCTTCTAGTGAACAAAGGCCACAGACCCCGAGCTGCTACAGCCCTTCGTATTTATTGGGTAGAATGAGCAGGGAGGAGCAGATAAAGATTGGTCAGCTGCTTGATTGATTACAGGTTCATATTATTTCTTTTTTTTTTTTTTTTTTGAGACGGAGTCTTGAGACGGAGTCTTGCACTGTCGTGGCTCACTGCAAGCTCCGCCTCCCGGGTTCACACCATTCTCCTGCCTCAGCCTCCCCAGCAGCTGGGACTACAGGTGCCTGCCACCACACGTGGCTAATTTTTTGTATTTTTTAGTAGAGACGGGGTTTCACCATGTTAGCCAGGATGGTCTCGATCTACTGACCTCGTTATCCACCCGCCTCGGCCTCCCAAAGTTCTGGGATTGCAGGAGTGAGCCACCGCGCCTGGCTGGTTCATATTATTTCTAACAGGCTTCAGATATGCCCTGTAGATAATCACAAGAAACGCTTGGGGCATGACTGCCCTCAGCATTCCTTCTGGGCAGCAGATGCAGTGTGTCAGTTTGCCAACATCCTGCATTTATGAGAAGAGTTTGCTGTTTACTCATGTAGCCTCCAGTGGTATACTGAGTTGATCACCACCCTCACTCTTTCAGCCTCCAACATCTCTCCCTTTTTGTTTTTGAATTAATTTAGTAAAGGCAATTCCAGGCTGTGCAGCCTTCAATTGCCATTGGTGGTTTGTTCCATCTTCACATTCAGATTCAACTGGCTCATGGTTCGCACTGCAGGAGCCAGGCCCACAGCTGGGATCCATGGGTCTCTCCAGTCTCTGGTTCCATGGTCTCACACACCTTGGGGCACCCACACGGTTTGTTCATTTCCTGTGAAAACACAAGCATACCCTCATCCGCAGTTAGTAAATCAACCGAAACAAAAGCAAAGGCTTTTGTGCCTGTAGCCAGGAGGCATGCTGTTGCTGAAGCATCTGCTCCACAAGCTGTAACTCAGCTTCTGCCTCTTTGGTTAATTACTGCGGGGTAAAACGTTCCGCTGATAATGAGACAGGCTCTTTCCAATCAACAGAAGGCACAGAGAAAGCAAATCAAGGTTTATCTTTCTCGTGCAATAGCACAGCAAAGAAAACAATCTTCAAGATCTATTACCACAAGAGACCAATCTCTTGCTCCCGAATCCATAAGCCCACAAAACTTCTTTCTTCAATTTACACTGAACAAGTGGGTCTATTAGATGCCATGGGTTGTGATAGATAAATTTCCCGTGTAGTTGTACTTCCAAATCCCCGATTCCCGTGGAGAAGGGTGCAATTTACAGGGAATAAGCAACAATTGAGCAATATATTCTCCCTGGTTCAAAAACCCAAAGATCTTATGCCATTACCACTACCTGAGTTTCTGGTTTGTAATCCAAATCAACAACTCCTGGAACCACAGCAATGCCCTGTAAGTTAAGATGACTTTTGCCTAAAATTAATCCCATGTGTCCTTCTGGCAAAGGTCCCCAAAACCAGTGGGAATCTTCGTGTGTTTGTCTCCTCCAACTAATGTAACTCGTTCTCTGACTGGGAGATCGAATCCTGCGCTTACAGGTGTTTCTGCTACTGGAGGGAGCTGGAATCAATGAGTCTCCAGAAACCCACCCCTGAAAAGGGAGTTGCAACCCAGACAGGGAATGCCCTCATTGTTTGAGGTGCCCAGGTCCAGGCCCCCTTCTCATTTCCCAACAGGGGTGGGGGGGGGTGCCATTTTGATGAAACTTTGAGTGGTATTGATTAGCCCAATGATTTCCTTTATTGCAATGAGAGCAAAGGCCTAGCGTTTTTTCTGTTGAGAGGGGAACTATGTTATCAAATCCCTTCTGCCCAGAGGTCTGACAGCATTCTCCTTTAAAACATCCAATTTTTCTACACTTATAACACTTTCTCACTTTAGGGCTTAACCCTTGGCTTCCTTTAGATCTGTCAGCTACCAAATTAGCCATTGCCTGAGTCAACACTGCAGAGCAATGAAGCTCGGTTCCCACATCTTGACAAGCTGAGAAAACCTCCCAAGTCCTCTGCACATCTCACAGGTGCCAGCATATGTCCACAATCCATGAAAGCCAAAGCCAGAGTTAGCCTTTCTGTAGTCACAAAAGCATTTGGTTCAAGCCAGTTTTTATCCTCCCTCTCCTGTTCACCACCCTCAATAGGTGCTGTAGATGCGGCAAAAAATTAGCTCAAACCCTGAAATAATAACAAAAAGATGGTACTTACCAAACTCCAAACAAAAGAAAAAAGAAATAACCAAATTCTTCCCCATGTTACCCTGATTCAAAAACTTCCTATTCTCTGTACCACTTTAGAGCACTGATCTTGTATTGCTGCTGGCAGACTTGTAATGGGGTTTCTCATTCGTCTGGTAGGTTTGAGGTTTTTCTGGGCTTTAGTTTTTCTGCTCCAGCAGACTGTCCTCGCTCAAGTCCCTGTAGGACCCTATCTGTCCCTGTCTGTCCCTGCAAGTTTCTGCCAGTCTTTCCTAGTCTTTCTTTATCCCTATCTGTCCCTGTCTGTCCCTATGGTCCCTGTTAGTTCCTACAAGTTCCTGCAAGTCCCTACCTATCTCCATTTGTCTCTATTTATCTCTATTCATTTCTATTTATCCCTACTAATCTCTATTTGTCCCTGCAGGCCTCTTCAGGTCCCTGTTTGTCCTTGATTGTCCCTGTTTGGGCGCCACTTGTAACTGACTGCCACGATTACTACTTGAGACCATCACTACAACAGTTACTAATGTTACTACTTGAGTCCATCATTACAAGACTGAACGAAGGAGGACAAATGTAGAAATGAAAACTTAAGACAAAACAAACTGTTTTAAAGAAAGAGGCCAGGGGAAGAAGAAGAGAGCTCCCTGCTCTAGTGAGCAACAGCAGCAGACCCCGAGCTTCCACAGTCCTTCACATTTATTGGGTAGAATGAGCAGGGAGGAGGAGGTAACAATTGGTTGGCTGCTTGACTGATCACAGGTTTATATTATTACTAACAGGCTTCAGATGTGCCCTGTAGATAATCACAAGAAACACTACACTTGGGGCATGGCTGCCCTCAGCATTCCTTCTGGGCAGCAGATGCAGTGTGTCAGTTTGCCAACATCCTGCATTTATGAGAAGAGTTTGCTGTTTACTCATGTAGCC